CATCATCTACAGTGCATAATATCATCCAAAGATTCAGAGAATCTGGAACAATCTCTGTGCGTAAGGGTCAAGTCCGGAAAACCATACTGGATGCCCGTGATATTCGGAACCAGTGTTGGGGAAAGTTACTTTTAAAAGTAATGCATTACGATATTGCGTTACTCCATAAAAAAGTAACTAATTACGTTACTTAGTTACTTTTTATGGAAAGTAATGCGTTACGTTACTTTTGCGTTACTTTTTAAATCTGGACAGGGCTTGCTTGTGTGTTTTTAAAATAAAAAAGTTCTATTTTTGGCAAATATAAAAGCCTTTTTACACCAAAAGTGAAATAAAAGATCAGCCTCAGGCTGAAGGGAAAGTACATTTACGTCAGAGTGCAGAAGAAGAAATTTCAACACACTTCAGCAATAAAAAAAGACACACAGATGTTTGTCTAGAGTAATTTGTGGTTATTAGTACGGTTGAACTGGATCATCGAAGGTCAGAAGCAAAGACATTGGTTAATAGAATGGGATTAAATACATAAAGGATATTTGTGTTGTTTAACATTTAATTATTGAAGGTTTGCGTCATATTCTGAGTTGCATTATTTTTATTCATTTTGAGGAATACTGAACCTGGCTACACATTCCAAAAAAGTTGGGACAGGTAGCAATAAGAGGCCGGAAAAGTTAAATGTACATATAAGGAACAGCTGGAGGACCAATTTGCAACTTATTAGGTCAATTGGCAACATGATTGGGTATAAAAAGAGCCTCTCAGAGTGGCAGTGTCTCTCAGAAGTCAAGATGGGCAGAGGATCACCAATTCCCCCAATGCTGCGGCGAAAAATAGTGGAGCAATATCAGAAAGGAGTTTCTCAGAGAAAAATTGCAAAGAGTTTGAAGTTATCATCATCTACAGTGCATAATATCATCCAAAGATTCAGAGAATCTGGAACAATCTCTGTGCGTAAGGGTCAAGGCCGGAAAACCATACTGGATGCCCGTGATCTTCGGGCCCTTAGACGGCACTGCATCACATACAGGAATGCTACTGTAATGGAAATCACAACATGGGCTCAGGAATACTTCCAGAAAACATTGTCGGTGAACACAATCCACCGTGCCATTCGCCGTTGCCGGCTAAAACTCTATAGGTCAAAAAAGAAGCCATATCTAAACATGATCCAGAAGCGCAGGCGTTTTCTCTGGGCCAAGGCTCATTTAAAATGGACTGTGGCAAAGTGGAAAACTGTTCTGTGGTCAGACGAATTAAAATTTGAAGTTCTTTTTGGAAAACTGGGACGCCATGTCATCTGGACTAAAGAGGACAAGGACAACCCAAGTTGTTATCAGCGCTCGGTTCAGAAGCCTGCATCTCTGATGGTATGGGGTTGCATGAGTGCGTGTGGCATAGGTAGCTTACACATCTGGAAAGGCACCATCAATGCTGAAAGGTATATCCAAGTTCTAGAACAACATATGCTCCCATCCAGACGTCGTCTCTTTCAGGGAAGACCTTGTATTTTCCAACATGACAATGCCAGACTACATACTGCATCAATTACAACATCATGGCTGCGTAGAAAGAGGATCCGGGTACTGAAATGGCCAGCCTGCAGTCTAGATCTTTCACCCATAGAAAACTTTTGGCGCATCATAAAGAGGAAGATGCGACAAAGACCTAAGACAGTTGAGCAACTAGAAGCCTGTATTAGACAAGAATGGACAACATTCCTATTCCTAAACTTGAGCGACTTGTCTCCTCAGTCCCCAGACGTTTGCAGACTGTTATAAAAAGAAGAGGGGATGCCACACAGGGATAAACATGGCCTTGTCCCAACTTTTTTGAGATGTGTTGATGCCATGAAATTTAAAATCAACTTATTTTTCCCTTAAAATTATACATTTTCCCAGTTTAAACATTTGATATGTCATCTATGTTGTATTCTGAATAAAATATTGAAATTTGAAACTTCCAAATCATTGCATTCTGTTTTTATTCACAATTTGTACAGTGTCCCAACTTTTTTGGAATCGGGTTTGTACTATGTTTAAATATTTCTTACATGGAGCATCTTCACAAAACACCAATCAAGGCATGATGATGTGTGTCCAAATCATGTGTGTAATCTCATACACAATTATAATTTAATTTACCCATTTTAAATTTCGTTGTTCAGTAAACATTTCTTATATTTTTGTGGAAATCGTGATATGTTTGGTCAAAGTTTATTTAATGATTTTTAAAAAAAAAAAATTTTTCGTTTTACTATCACTGGAATGCATCCTTGCTTAAAAGTAACTTCTTTAAAAAAAAATTAAAATCTTACTGACCCCAAATTTTGTGGGTAGTGCATTTCATTTATAGAACACAGAATCATCGGTTTTAGTCACATCCAAGTTCAGAGAGGGAAAGATAGAGAAATATTGATGAGTCTTAATGCAGCTGTTGTCTGAAGAGAGAAATCGACCGTGGCTTCACCCTGTAATAGGTACAGATCCTTTGAGAGGTCAGCTGTCATTGTCACACGTTCCACACCGAGGCTGATGTATTTTTAGCAGGGGCTGTGATCCCTTATCGGACTCTTCTCTATTGTGCCAAAGCATTTTGTTACCCCTGCATGAGACTTTCCCTCCAGCTAACCGTGTACAAAAGTTTAAACCAACCAATCTGATGGGGAATTATAAATCAAGACCCACTCAAACCTGTACAGGTAAACATTAAGTTTCTTCAGTTGGCTGTTTGAGTCGTTCAGTTCATTCGTTCAGCTGATGTTAATATTAAATATTTTCAGTCTTTTAATCCTTGTTGACATTTAGTCTTCTCTGACAGTGAGTAATGATTGTTCTGTACGTAAAATTGGATTATCGTGTCCATGATGTGGTCTTGATTCAATGTTGTTTTGCTTTAGATGAGTGGAAAAAGAAAGTAAGTGAGTCATATGCTGTTATAATTGAGAGACTGGAGGAAGACTTGAAAATTAAGGAGGAGGAGTTCAAGGAACTCAAGCATGTTTTCAGGTGAGACTGATTGAAACAAAGTTTTGTAGTGTACTATTATTAGTGTTTACAAATGTGGCTTAATGTGTGGTCTTCTATTTTAATAACACAACCGAGGAAAGCATGAACGTGGAGATCTGTTTTATGTTTTTGATACAGCTCAGATGAAGCATTTAATAAAGTCAATCTGAATTATCGCACAGAGGGTGGACTGTCCCTGCTGCATCTCTGCTGCATATGTGGAGGTAGAGCTAAAACATGTTAAACGTTATCTGCTATAATGCAATGATGTTAATTTGGAACATTATATATGACTCATTCCAGTGTACTCATGTTGAATCACTAACACTTCACTTTGAAATGATATTTAGCTTACTTTGTAGCAAATTTTCCCCTGTTGATTTGCTTGATTTATTACCTTCAGTTTGTTATGGTACTTTCCTATAATTCAAGCTGTTTTCTTTTTTGCTACCAGGGAATAAAGCTCACATCAGGACCCTCATGCTGAAAGGTCTGCGTCCATCCAGACTTACCCGGAATGGATTCACTGCACTGCACCTGGCTGCATTCAAGGTCAGTCAAGGGTTAATAATCCCAAATGCTGTGTGCTAGGAATTAATCATGTTAAAAATGTTTATGATGAATTGAGTTTCGACATCAATATTTAAGATGTGATAGGTTATTTTTATTTCTTTGATGTAGGGTAATGCTGAACTGGTCACTGCGCTGCTGCATGGTGGAGCAGATATCCAGCAGGTGGGGTATGGAGCCCTCACGGCCCTACATATAGCTACTGTGGCCGCCCATCTTGAGGTGTGTGTTGGACCTGAAATTAAACTATGGGGTTTAAACCGAGTCATTCAGAAAATGTGATGGACTAGGACTAGGTTGTCCCTACTTTTCCTTCAAGGTTGTTGATATTCTCTTGCAACACGGGGCTTATGTCAGTGTCCAAGATGCAGTGTTCTTCACCCCTCTGCACATTGCAGCTTACTTTGGCCATGAACAGGTCAGTCTTTGCTTCATATCATAAATGTCCAGGGCTTCATAACAGCTTACTCATGATCTTTTTGTTTTCTTGTGAAACAGGTATGCAAGCTCCTGATGAAGTTTGAGGCTGATGTCAATGCGAGTGGAGAGGTGGGGGACAGACCGCTTCACCTGGCCGCAGCTAAAGGCTATCTGGGCATTGTCAAACTGCTGATGGGTGATGGCAGCAAAACTGATGGTGAGAGAGCGTATTTTTTAGTGTATCAGTGTATTGATATTTAATTGATCTTGATCGTAAACGTTATATAGGCCTATCTTTAAAGGAATAGTTCACCCAAAAAAAAAATTTGCTGTGAATTTACTCAATCTCAGGCCTTCTTCATCTGAACCGATTTAGATAAATTTAGCATTATATCATTTGCTCACCACTGGATCCTCTGCAGTGAATAGGTGCCGTCAAATTGAGAGTTCAAACAACTGATAAAAACATCATAATAATCCACAAGTAATCCAAACAACTACAGTCCATCAGTTAATGTCTTGTGAAGTGAAAATCTGTATGTTTATAACAAACAAATCCATAATTAGACGTTTTTTCTTTTTTTACTTTAAACCGTTGCTTCCGGCTTGAGTCCTCTATTGAGAGTATTTATACATTTCTTAAAAAGAAATGCTAAATCTGTTCCGATGAAGAAACAAACTCATCTACATCTTAGATCTAGGCCTGAGGGGTAAGTAAATTTTCTGCATGTTTACATTTTTGGGTGAACTATTCTTTTAAAGCCTATCGCTCCTATACAGTCAATGCTCAAGACAACGAGGACCATGTTCCCCTTCATTTCTGCTCTCGATTTGGACACCAAGAGGTTGTCCGTTTCCTTCTGCAGGGCACCTTTGACATACAGCCACACTCTGTGAACATCTATGGTGACACACCTCTCCACCTGTGAGTTCTATTTCAAAGTGAATCACACACAACACAGGTGGCAGTTAAACTCAACAAATGGCCAAAGTGAAATTAAATAATCTGGAATCTGGAGAGCAGTTATAGTGATTGTGATTTGAGTCTCATATTCCCCATCAGAGCTTGCTACAATGGAAAGTTTGAAGTGGTGCAGGAGATTATTCAGTTGTCGGGCACAGAGAGTCTGTCTAAGGAGAACATCTTCAGTGAGACAGCTTTTCACAGGTAACGTTCCACCTGACCACTTCCATTTGTTACACTTTCATTCATTTATGGGCATATATAGAAATACGTATTCCTCCAAAGACAGATTTGGTTAAGATACCTGCTGATCCTGTTGTTACACACTAAATTAAGGGCTAATGTACTCTGTAGTGCCTGCACCTACGGCAAGAACCTGGAAATGGTGAAGTATCTGCTCAGTCAGAATGCCGTGAGCATCAACCATCAGGGGCGAGATGGACACACAGGTATGATGACAGCGGTAATCTGGTTTACATCAAAAAATTATGACAAAAATTCAGAAATATTTCTGCTCTCATCCTCTATGACTTGACATCTCAGTGTTATAAAACAGACGTTATATGTTTTGTGTTATGTTGATAGTCTGGTTGATATTTTAAACAATAGGTCTGCATAGTGCCTGTTTCCATGGACACATCCGACTGGTCCAGTTTCTTTTGGACAACGGGGCAGATATGAATCTGGTAGCTTGCGACCCCAGCCGCTCCAGTGGGGAAAAGGATGAACAGACATGCTTAATGTGGGCCTATGAGAAAGGTTTAAGATCTATCTATCTATCTATCTATCTATCTATCTATCTATCTATCTATCTATGTATCACATCGTATCATATCTATCTATTCTATCTCACATTTAACACACACACACAGACACACAGATATATATCCAGTCAGAGAATATCTAAAATGACAGAAAATAGGAACGCTGTTCTTGATCTATTACATTTTCTAACTCTTCATGACGGGTAAAAGCCTTGATTTTCATATGTGTGACTGACAAATACACATTTTACTATATATATATGTTGTGTGTATGTATCTATGTGTGCGTGTTAATTTTAGGCCATGATGCCATTGTTACTCTGCTAAAACACTACAAACGACCTCAGGATGATTCACCCTGCAATGAGTATTCTCAACCAGGAGGGGGTATGAGACACTCTCCACATGTTGCCTGACAGATTTGTACTGTGAATTAGCTGGTTGGACAAATCTGTTGCTGCTGAGAATTTTAGGGAGAGTATTTTATTGTTGTTTTCTGTTGCAGATGGATCTTATGTTTCTGTTCCTTCTCCCCTGGGAAAGATAAAAAGTATGACGAAAGGTAAAGCACACACACACATGCACACAGTTAGCTGACTCCATGAATCACTGTTGCTATGATACTATTTTTATGTGCTGAAATACTGCTACCCACAGTCACCAAAATCTTCTGAGAGTTAGTGAGTCAGAAACTGTCTCCAAACATCCTCCCACTGCATAACTGCTACAGTTTAAGCCTTTAAGTTTGTATCTGTCACAGACATTACAAATAACGTGAACCATCTTTCGTGACTCATGGGCATATGTCAACAACATAAGCTGATTAGAGTTTCATACAATGATTGATGTGAAGGTATCAAACAAACAAACTCCTGTTTACCCTCTTTTCTCCTCAGAGAAGGCAGATGTGCTTCTCCTGAGAGCAAGTCTTCCATCAAACTTCCACCTTCAACTTTCTGAACTGGAGTTTAACGAGATTATTGGATCAGGTATGTCAGTTTAATGATAAATATGAGCTCTCCCTGAGTCCCCCATTAAAACCTATTCCACTAAACACTGCAACTATAGGCTCCTTTGGAAAGGTCTACAAAGGAAGGTGCCGCAATAAGATAGTTGCAATTAAACGGTAAGAGCTTTTTACTTGCTTTTCCTTATTGTCCACATCATGTATACAAAGTGAACAGCTATAACCTTTCCACAGGTACCGCGCAAACACATACTGCTCAAAGTCAGATACAGATATGTTCTGTCGGGAGGTGTCCATCCTGTGTCGTCTCAACCACCCCTGTGTGATCCAGTTTGTGGGGGCATCTTTGGACGACCCCAGTCAGTTTGCCATTGTAACCCAATATGTGTCCGGAGGATCACTGTTCTCATTGTTACACGAGCAGAAGAGGTGATTTTAAGAATACTATGTGTATGTATGTGTTTACACTACTGTTCAAGAGAAATGTATATCATTTTTCATTTATAATATTACAAAAGATTTCTATTTCAAATAAATGCTGCTGATTCATCAGAAATTCTTAAAAAATGTCAGTTTCCACAAAAATATTAAGCAGCACTGTTTTCAACATTGATAATAATAAGAAATGTTTCTTGAGCACCAAATTAGCATATTAGAATGATTTCTGAAGGATCATTTGACTCTGAAGAATGGGTTTTGGTTTTTAGTACGATTGCTAACAATTGGATTTACGATCACAGGAATAAATTGCCTTTACATTTTTTTCTAATAGAAAACATTAGAAAATGTTTTTTCTTACAAAAAAGAAAAAGTTTTTTTTTAATGGTAATATTTCACAACATTATTGTTCCCTATCCAAAGGTAACTCCCGTTGCGTCGTCTTTTGATGACTTGTTTGGGGAAACTCCTGTTTACGAGTTTCCCCAAACAAGTCGTCAAAAGACGATGCAGCACTCATTCCCTTATATCAGGGAACCGAGGTTACATGAGTAGCCAGAGCGTTTTTACTGTATTTTTGATCACATAAATGCAGCCTCAGTGAGCATAAGAGACTTCTTTCAAAAACATTTAAAAACCATTTACCGACCCCACACTTTTAAATATAATGTATATTGTATAATTTATAATAAACATTATGTATATATAATGCAGTTCTACAGTGTTGATTGAGAGTGGGGGGGGGGGATTTTATTACATAACTTGCAATGTTTTATGAAAGTGGGTGGTTAGTGTTGCAATTCCCATTTCAACAGTAACAGCAACTCTTCTAATTGGTGGAACTCGATGTTAAGATCATGAATAGGGCCATTTTCAAAAAAGTTGGAGAAGTCCTGTCTAGAACGTAACTATAAGAGAAAGAAATCTGAAGCAATCTAGGATCTGTTTTTAGGACCTGCATCAATTCCACTAAGTGTCTGATTTCTACTTAGTGCTCCATATGTAGTTTAAGGTGATCATCATCTCATTGATCTGTTTGACTTGGAATGATGGGTTTGTGTATTGATCAGTGGGGAGGAGGCGGTGTTCACTTAATGATGTCTTTGCATCCAGAATCATCGATCTGCAGTCCAAGCTCATCATTGCCATTGATGTAGCGAAGGGCATGGAGTATCTGCACAATCTGACCCAACCAATCATTCACAGAGACCTCAACAGGTCAGTCACCATCATCATCATCATCACATGCTTCGTTCAATAATCATGGTGTTTCTCTGTCCATTTGTGTAAACCCTCCTATTACATTGTACTAGGCAGCAGGGAGAAATGTAGCATTCTGAGCTCTTTGTTTTAAACCTCCCTTCATCCAATGATATCTTTTCAGTCATAATATTCTACTGTATGAAGATGGACACGCTGTGGTGGCTGATTTTGGAGGTAAAAAAATGTCACACACTTTTAGCATTGCACTTGAACTTGAGGAAGTCTTACCTCAGTCTGCTTTATTATGTTAGAGCAAAAACAGTTGAGTCAAGTTAAAAATCTTGGATCCAAAATCACATTTATGCCTGGAAAAAAACCCTGAAAGCTTTTGGATTTTGAAAAAAAGAAATCGTGACAATTTCTCAGTCACTAATCAAATAGATATTTGATTTGATTAGTGACTGAGAAATCGTCACGATTTCTTCTTGATATTTTTTTTTCAAAATCCAAAAGCTTTCAGGGTTTTTTTGACCATGTGAATTTCTTTGTGCAAATGGTCAGATTTTCCGCCTTCAAGATGCTCTTTGGATAATTGAAAATCTTGCTGATGTCAATCAACAGCTTCAGTGCTGTGATCATAAAAGCAAAAGTGGGACAAACCAAATACTAAGACATGAAATTCATGTTTCAGATACTGATGATATAATTTAAAACGAAAAAAAAAACTGTATTAAATTAGGAAAAGGCACATTTGATCTCCACAATTTATGTAATAAAAGTACTTCTTTGTTGTTGTGCAGAGTCTCGCTTCCTGTTGTCTGTGGATGAGGATAACCTGACTAAACAACCTGGGGTACATGCATTCTGTGTTCTTGATGAATTCTGTCTATTAATTATCACCTTAAAAAGGTAATGCATTAATAATCTCTTTCAGCACATGCAAGCTATTTTAATAATGCCTACATTGCGGTTTTGGCTCTCTTGTATGTCATGTTAAGTACGTCAGTGTGTCTTTGGGGAGTATGTGTGCCTGTCCTTTGGGGTTAGCAGGCGTTTTGTAAGTTGCATATTGTTTTGTGTTCGTCATTTTGCTCTCATTATGCTCTGCAGAACCTGCGTTGGATGGCCCCAGAGGTGTTTACCCAATGTACACGCTACACGGTGAAAGCGGACATGTTCAGCTATGCTCTCTGCCTGTGGGAGCTGCTCACAGGGGAGATTCCATTCGCACATCTCAAACCAGGCACTGCACTGTGATACCTAAAACTGACCCTCAATGGCCTTTAGACTGGGTTATATCATTTCATTTTCTATGTATTTTGAACTTTTTATGAGTTTTTCATCTTTATATTCAAGTTGATTAACAAAATATTAATTATAAAATACTAAAAATGAAAATTTACTCACCCTCAGGCCATCCAATATATAGATGGGTTTGTTTTGTGATTCAAACAGATTTGGAGAAATTTTGCATTACTTGCTCACCAGTGGATCCTCTGCAGTGAATGGGTGCCGTCAGAAACAAGCAGTTCAAAAACTGATAAAAACATTGCAATAATCCACATGTAATCCACATGAATCCAGTCCAATTTACTTCTTATGAATCTAAAAACTGTGTTCATAATAAACAAATTTAGCATTAAGATGTTTTTTTAACTTGTAACCATTTCTTTCACTGGAGGAAACGTTACTATAGAACAGGGGGGGGCGAACATCAGTCCTGGAGAGCCTCAGCCCTGCAGAGTTTTGCTTCAACCCTAATCAAACACACCTGAACAAGCTAATCAAGGTCTGAAGGGTTACTAGAAAGCTACAGGCAAGTGAGTTTTAATTAGGGTTGGAGCTGAACTCTGCAGGGCTGCGGCTCTCCAGGACCGGAGTTCGCCACCGCTGCTATAGAATATGGAGTTGTATTTTGGCCAGAAGCGACTGTTTAAATTTAAAGGGTTAGTTCACCCAAAAGTTAAATTTTACTTAGATTTACTTACCCTCAAGCCATCCTAGATGTATATGACTTTCTTCTTTCAGACGAATACAATCAGTGTTATATTAAAAAACATCCTGGCTCTTCCAACCTTTATAATGAAAGTGGATGGTAGCCCAAAATTTGAAGTCCAGAAAATGTAACCAATTCATTATAAAAGAAGTCCACATGGCTCTGGGGGGTTAATAAAGGCCTCCCGAAGCGAAGCGATGCGTTTGTGTAAGAAAAATATCCATATTTACAATCATAAACCTTAATCTCTAACTTTCAAACTAACTGTCGTACGCGCAGGTACGTAAAATCATGGGGTAATTTAAATTTTTGGCTGAACTATCCCTTTAAACTGCTTTAATAATGGATTTGTTTATTACACGCATGCAGCTTTTCACTTCATAAGACGTTAATTGATGGACTTGAGTGATGTGGATTATTGTGATTTTTTATCAGCTGTTTGGACTCATTCTGACGGCACCCATTCACTGAAGAGGATCTACTGGTGAGCAAGTGATATAATGCTAAATTTCTCCAAACCTGTTCTGATGAACAAACAAGTCATTTACATCTTGGATAGCCTGAGGGCGAGTAAATTTTCATTTTCTGGTTGAAATATTCCATTAAAAATATGATGAAATATTAAAACAGATGAAAATATATATTTCAATTAAATCATGAAAAAAAGCGTATTAATATTATAAAAATATAGAAATTTGAATTAAAAAGGTCTCACTCTCATTTCTGTGCACTCTTTACAGCTGCAGCTGCTGCAGATATGGCGTATCATCATGTCCGCCCTCCTATCGGATACTCGATTCCCAAACCCATCTCAGCACTGCTGATGAGAGGCTGGAATGTCTGTCCAGAGGTGAGTGACCCACATCCAGCCCAAAACATGCTCAGAAAAGAAGTAGGTTTATCAAGAGATATGCACACTTACTTTAAATGCATGTAAAATATAAAAAAAATAAAAATCACTATGAAATTAGATTAGTTGCTTTTCCAGTTTAAATTCTAACATTTAGTTGCTTGCTTTCTAGGTAAAGAGGTGAGATAAACCACTCAAATTTTTGCAAGTACATAAAGCATCATTTAAAAAAAACGTTCAACCAAAGTTGAAATAAAGAGCTTAAACTAATTTAGAAATATCCAAATTCATATGGCCCTATTAAATCCATTCATGAACTACTACTCTGTGCCACTGAGTCTGTTTATAATCAGTTAGATTACCCAGAATGCCTTATCTCTGTAGCTCAAGACCAGTTGTATTTCTGTTTCTGTTGATGAGCATCCAGTTGCTAGCCTACCGTGTCTCTCTACAAACAAACCTGTGCCAGGTGTTATTTCTTATATACAGCGTCTTTGCAATGTCCTCAGCGCTGGTCCCTCAGGTGCGGGGCTGAAACTGTGTCAAGCGTGCTGGTTAGGAATGTGCCCTGGTAACAAGTGCGGCTTTACACTATTCTCTGGAGCACAGAGCTTTTGCTGAGCAACACTTTAAAAGAGCCAGGATGCCAACAGCTTGTACGGTGCTTTCATTTAGTGTCACTTAATGAAATGAACAAGATTCAGTTTTAAATAACTGCTTTATATTTTAATACATGACTTTTATATTTAAATAATGTCATTTATTCCTGTAATTTTCAGCAGTCATTACTTCAGTCTTCAGTGTCACATGATCCTTCAGAAATCATTCTGATATGCAGATTTGCTGCTCAAGAAACATTTCTTACTATTATCTAAGTTGTGCTGCTTAATATATTTATGGAAACCTTTATGTACATAAACAACGTAGGATTCTTTATACAAAGCAATTCATTGCAGAATTCACTTTTAATACATGCTTGCTAAATAGTATTTTTTAAAACCCCAATCATTTCAACGGTGGTGTATATATGGTCTTCATGGTCTTTGTAATTCATGTGTGTTTTTGTGTGTCTCGTTTCTCTGATGAAGTACTGTGTCTGGTCTTTTGAAGTCCTTCACTCTGAATGATGCTTGGGCAGCGAGTCCTCTTCAGAGGAGCAGCTGATTGGATAGCCAGAAATTATTTCCTGTACTTCAACCAAACCTCTGATGAAAATCCCCTATTTTTTGACTCTCTCTGACAGGAAAGACCAGAGTTTTCGGAAGTGGTTGCCAAACTAGAGGAATGCCTGTGTAACGTGGAGGTAGTATACATGCACATATCTACTATACATTGTTATTCTCTTAGTTCAGTACTTATTGATATTTCTATGTGTGTCCAGCTAATGTCTCCAGCCTCCAGTAACAGCAGTGGTTCTCTTTCGCCCTCATCCTCCACTGACTGCCTGGTAGCACGTGGTAGTCCTGGACGAAGTCACGTAGCTGCCCTTCGCTCGCGTTTTGAGTTGGAATATGCCCTCAACGCCCGTGCCTATGCATTTTGGACCCAAAAGTACACAAATCTATCACAAACCTACATACTATCCAAGAATGAGAGTGATTTTGCTAACTGAGTTGTATTTGCTAGGAAAAGCCTCCCACCAACTTATCGCCAAACTACATTAGTGAGAAAACAAATATGAATTTAAATAAAGGCCAATGTGTCATACCCATACATTAATGGAGGAGTCAGGTCACCTTGCTCTTTTGTTTGGTCACTCAATGCCATGCAGTCCAACCACAACACTTCTGTACAGTCTGAAGTGCTGTTGCTTGGAAACCAAGGCATGAAAACAAAAGAAAGCAACTGCAATGAAACTTGCATGACATTCACACTGAGAACCTTTGCTGGTGGTCACCTCTTAATTCTTTATGGGTGGTGATGAATGAGTGTGTGTTTTGGAGGAAACTGGCAACTGTCAACAAAACCGCCAACTGAGAAATTACTAGAAGGGACTCCTGCTTTGGAGCCTAATTTAGTCATAATCTTTGCAATATGATGTTTTATGTAACCAGATCTAGCAATGTATGCAGTTTGGTGGTATGAGCAATAAATCAGGCTAAAGTGACACTGTGAATGACTAAATAGAAAACAAATTCAATAGAGGATCATCTGAGCAGGACAAACCCTGCAAGGCCTCATTGAGCTGATATGACAACAACAAAGCAACAGAAGTGTATCCTATCTAGCATCATTAAAATTTCATATCGCAGAAGAATCGTGCTTGTTCTGTGGTCTTTAGTGTAAACCAATACTAATCGCATTGTTGATTCAATCCTTTCTTTTATTTTGACAGCTCTGGTCGGAGGTCTTCACAGGGCTTGTCCCTGGATGAGCTGAGGAGGAACATGCAGTTCCCACCCATTGACCGAAACGGTTCGTGTCCAACTGGAAATGACTATCAAACTTGTGACTCATCTGTTTATGTAACAGCTTAAATTTTTCATTTTAATTCACATAGAATATGGCAACAATCATGTTGATATAATCCATGCAAATTTGTTTTGAAGTTAACATGACATTTTCACAAAGACGAGAGAACTGTGTGCGTGTCAGCATATGGTGCAACAAGTGGGTGGTTGTATTAGAGTGCGTGTCAGTCACTGTGTTCTGTGCTGTTCCCGCAGGATATGTGTCAGATCCCATGAGCACCATGCGTTTCCATTCATGCAGCAGCAATGGAAGTTTTGAGGACAGCAACTAGAAGCAGCAACTCTCTGAAGAACATCACACGCAAACACACTTGCATAAATGACATGTCTGATTACCATAATTATGAGTTTTTGACTTTTAAAAACCACTGTTCACATTGTTGTCAAAGTTGTAATGTTCAAAGAACTCGGACTTCTTTCAACCAAAATGTCACGACAAACATGAATCAAAACCTCACAATGAGTCATTTGACAAATAATAGTGTTATTAAAGAAACAAATAATTCAACTCAGAGCTCAGAGTAGAATATCAGAATTGTCAACTTGTAATTATTATGGTGAACGCACCATATTTATTCTAAGGACACATAACACTCAATTTGGATGATTTGTTTGATTTCTTTTGTTATTTTTCAGGCATTGTGTGTACTTTTGTATAAGAATGATGATTTAAACACTTATTATACAGTTATACATTTTCATTATGCATACTATTATCTCAACGTTTTGATTTTAAAGTCAAAACTTGTATTTTTATTGTTTTTTATATTGTGTTTGGTGTTTCAGTGTCGAGTAAGTATCTGGTAGAGCAGGACAAATAAGTGTATTTCAGTATTTTATTCTACTTTCAAAAAAAAGCAAACAGCTTTTTTAGACAAATAAGCCAGCATGTGAAACAGGAACTTGACAAGATCATGACTGATGTCAACTAACAACACCTCGCCTTGCTTGTGGGATCGAAACATCTCAAGTTTTGATTTTAACAATGATCTGTATGAATATGACAAGAAACAAAGAAGGTATCATAGTATGTGAACTAATCCAGTGTAAAATCATAAGAACACCATTAAACTAGTGCCAAAAATCAGCAAGGTGTTCATGTCATTCACATCACACTATGCATCTGCATATTAAAGTGTTCCGGATACTAATCAGGAACACAGAGGAAAGTGCAAGCATTGAGGTTTTAGTTCAATTCTCTTAGTTAAGTTCTGAAGTATGTCAGTATACTGCTAGTGCAGCCTGACCAACTGGAGGGCTCTGCATCATGAATAATTAAATTATTTGTGCTGTGCGAGTCCTACGGTGTCTATTTTCAGTGGGCTGTTGATAGCTTCTCTACCAAGCACACAGGACTCACTATGGGTCTCTGATAAGGAAAAGGAAGTGCCACTATTGTAAACCCATTAATATGGGTCCAATCCTGCTCCTGGAAGGCCAATGTCTTGCAGAGTTCAGTTCAAACTTGCCCCGACACACCTGTCTGGAAGTTCTAGTAATCCTGAAGACCCTGATTAACTGGTTCAGATATGTGTAATTGGGGTTGGACCTAAACTCGGCGGAACAGGAGAAGGATTGGACACCCCTGGGTTAGCTGAAGGATTTACTATTGTTCTAATAACTGTTCTCCGTGTGAGCAGTTGTTAATCTTGGATATCCTGCGGGCCCAAAAAACCTTGCTTCGTCCAACGAGAAAGTGCTTAAAGTGTCTCTGCTGCTGAGAGTCTGTTTTAAATGACCATCGATTACTTTCGTTCTCCTGTTTCCATCCGACTGTCTGGAATGGAAGTCTACACTTGCAGTGTCATCTTGGCTTCCGTTTTCCGATTTATTAATGATTTTGAGGTCTGTAATTACTGTGATTGTTGGACTCTGAGGCTCGATACACTCTGTCTGAGATACATGTTCAGGTTGCAAATTGTGTTCTGAACTCTCCAGGGTCTCTTTGTTACTTGCTTCCTCTGTTTGGGATAAATGCGTGGTTTCATCAGTCATATTTTGTTGATTACTTCTTTCTGACTCTTTTCCATTTAGGTCGACATTCGTCGGTACATCCTGATGTTCAGATTCAGATGGTGCTCGCTCTTCAGATGTTGCTGTTGTCCCTAGGTTTATGACATCATCTGATATTGAAGTTTCCTGTCCAGCAATGTCTTTTTGATTGGTCTGTTCTTCATTACTCTGTCTTGACCAAGTAGAGACCAAAGAACCTTTAGCATCTCCAGCCTCCTGGACTCTTTCATCTTTGGTTGAGGTATGTATGCTGTCTTTGGAGTGATTACTGTGAGCATCTGCTTCTATGGCTTCAGCTTTGGTCTCTGTTTTCAAGCTTTCAACTACAGACTCTGTGTTCTCATTGAGATTTTTCCTTGCAGGAGTTTCATCTGCAATTTCATCTCCACTCTTGAGTGTTTCATCAAGGCCCTCGATATCAGTACTTGTTGGTGCGTCTGTAGCATTTACTTCACCATTTAGCCTCTCCTCGGTTTCTTCCGAGATAAGACCCTCTTCATCAAGAGGCTCGATACATGTCTGAAAATACCTTGATTCTTGGTGTATGTTAATCCAGTTACTTACTAGATCCACCCCAGCTGCTTTAGTTAAAGCTTCTGAATGAATGGCCAGATCTTCTGAATCGATGCTCAGAACTAGATCTTTGACTTTCTCCACAGGCTGTGATTTCAGTGAATGGGAAACAGATGAGCCACCATCATTATTTACAGAATTCACTTTCCTCTCCAAAGGTTCCACTGGATCACCATCCATTACTTCAGGAGCATCTCTACTTCTCAGTTCATTGTCAGTACCTTTCAGTTCTGACTCATTTGGTTCTTGTGCTTTGGCATCTGCCGAGACAATGTAATTTTCTGTATCCTTATTGATTGTCTCCTGTGTTCTCTGAGCGGTTACGTTTTCTATGAACATTGTTGCAGATGTTTCTGATTCTTTATTAGCCTCTTCTTTGTCTGCTTTTTGATTGTCACTGGCCTGGTCCTCATGTTCATCACCCAATTGAGACTCTCTTTCTGAGGGAACAAGTTCAGCATCTGACTTGTTTTCAATCTCTTGCTCGTTGTCATCATGTTTTTTTTCTTCTTTCGCATCTATATCAGTTTCTGGCTTTTCATTATCATCTATAACTTCTTGAGCCCTATCACCAGTTGTCTCACCCTCTGATTTACCTTGCGTTTCCTCTTGGAGATATTCTTCTACCTTCTCAGCCTCTTCAAGACTGACGTCTTGTCTCTCTCCATTTTCAGCATCTAGCAGGTCATTATTCACCCCAGCAGGTTCATCCACTTCTTCCTTGGTACTGGCCTCTGTGTCATCATCGAGTGCCCCCCTCGAACCTACTTCATTTTGTTCTTCCTGTGAAACGGATTCCTCATTTTGGTCCTCAAAGTTGACCTCTAGTTTTTGGGCTGTATTTTCATCAGAAACGGCCTCTTCTTTTCCATCCCCTGCCTCTAAAGTATTCTCACTAATTTTGTTCATATCTGTCACCTCTTTCTTTGGCTCTTCTACCAACTTTTCACCCGTTTCTAGCTCATTCTCTACACAATTTCTATCTGCTCCCTCTGCCATCTCATCTATCTTCTGGTCCTCCATCTCTGCTTCTTCTTCCGCTTTCTGAGCCCCATCTTCCATTGTTTTGTCTTTCCCTTTTTTGGTTTCTCCTCCATTATCATCCTCACTGTTTGGCTTCTCTTGCCCTTCTTCCTCTGCCTCAACACTAAGTTTGTTTCTAACCTGTTCATCTTCTGTTTCGCTCTGTTCATCATCCTCTTTATCATTACCTTGTGTCCTCACATATTGAACAGCCTCTGACTCATTTTGTCTATTCCCAGTCTCACTAGACAGTTCTTCAGCTTCACCTTCTTTATGTTCATCATTCACCCCATCTTCAAATTTTTCTGTACTGTTCTCATTTTCTTTCTCTTCTGCATTTAAATTTTCGCCACCCTCTAACTCATTTTCTTTCTCACCATCTTGGGTCTCTTCATCCCCAGGTTTCTCTGTCTCCTCTTTTCCCAGACTTTCACTTCTATCCTGAACCTCTAGCTTTTCTGCAGCTTCTTCCTCTGCCTTATCTTCACTAGATTTTTCTCCATCTTCCACCTTACCATCATCAACCTTGTCATCTGTCTCCTGTACCATTTCCCCAGTGGACCTATCAACCTCAGCCTCATCTGCTAGGTCTTCTCTTTCATCTCTGTCTGTCTGTCCATTGCTCCTCCTCTCTATGTTCTGATCTACGTCATCAGCATCTCGCTGCCTCTCAGTGTCACCTGCATCTGTTTCTGTACCATTCTCTGTCTGAGATGCCTGACCCTCTCCATCCATCTCTGAGACCTCAGTGTCTGTATTTCCAGTGTCCAACATTTCAGCATGTCTCTCTGGTTCTTGTACTAATGATTCTTTGTCTTTTTTAGACTCTGTATTAACCTGTGCATTTGTATCATCTCCATCCATAACTTTCTCCTCTGCCTCCCCAGTTTCAGTTTTTACTTCCTCTCTTTTATCTTGTTGTTCAGCCTCATTTGTACTCTCACTTCGTTCTTTCGCCCTGTCTAAACTTTCTGCTCCCTCCCGAGTCTCATTGATTTCTTGTACTACTTCTTCTGTGTGGAAATGAGGTTCCTGTCCATTTGTCTCTTCTGCAGGCTGACACCTCTCAACATTATCATGCACCCTTTCCTCACACACAACTTCCTGTGTGTTGGCTTCACTTTCATCCAAAATGTCATCCCGTGTATTTGATGGTTGTGGCGAAGTGATTTCAGTCATTGCGGTTTCTGTAAAAGTGAGCATTTATAATTAAACCATTTCAAATTTATACATATTTACAAACACAAAACTGTCAATATTTTAATATAAATTTATACTCATTTGTTGTGTAAAAAATGTATCTTTACTAGTGCCATTTTGGAAATAAATAACTCTGTAAATAAATAAAATTTGTCGTTGAGCTTTATATGATCTGTGGACTGTGTTAATTAAAAGACGATTATTTTTTTTTACCTTGGCCATCCTGTTGGGTCTTCACTGAGGCCTCTTCATCTTCCTCTGTGCTTGTATCACTAAACTCTGGCTCTGAAC